CGTCACACTGCAGTTGTCACAAACATGATGTACAGGAGTGGACATTTCTCTTACAACTGGTGCCAACTTCCCCAGAGAACAGCTTTGCTTACAGCAATATTCTCTGGTCAGACTGTCCAAACAAAAGCTCCCCTGTGTATCACTGCTTAAGGTAGCCAGTCTTAAGTAATAAAACATCCAAGTGCTAGTTACAGAGCATTTCTATCAGACCTTTTGAGTTCTAGATTTGGTTCTATGTTTGAAAGGATGCAAACTAAAGTCGGATGGTGCTGATGTACAAGGAAGGCGTATCCTGGAGCTGGATCACAGCATCCTTCTGCGTCTTGAACTGCAAGTACTGGAGGAGCCTATGGAACCCAGTGAAGTGACTTACCTGACTTTGACATAGTCTGAGAGGAGCCATCTATAAATAGCTTTTGTGGCGTGGGTCATAAATGTCCGTCCTTTGAAACTTGTCTTCTGAAGGAACCAGGGCAGGGCTCCACAGTGATCCAAATGGAAACTGACAAAGAAACAGGGCCATCAGGGCTTTAGATACCAGAGGCCAGCACTGCTCCAATTCCTGCTCAACGGACAGAACTGTGCTAAGCACACGGGGCTGCTGTGAGAAGACCGGGAATGCGTGTCAGTTCTTTCCTTCTAGCATGGGGCCTGGGGTCAGACTCCCATCAGGCTTGGCGGCTAGCACCATCCTCCGTTCTTCTAGTACCATCCTCTGTTCTTGGGATGCCCCTCTACTCATCAGTGAGTAATCAGAAGGAAAAGAACGTGAACCAAATCTACACTCAACAGCCAGAATTATAACAATTTAGGGAAATATATTTGAAATCTACCACCACGTCTTTTTTCTCCTTTTTTCTCTGTGTAGCCCTGGCTGTCCTCGAACTCAAGAGATAGCCTCCCAAATGCTGGGATTAAAGGTATACACCACCACTGGCCAGCTTCACCACCTTTAAGTGAAATTTTTGAAGACAACAGTCTTGCTGTGTCACCTGTACTGGCTTCAGACTCAGCAATCCTCCAGCCTCAGCCTTCTGAGTGTTGGGACTACAGGTGTGTACCACCATACCCTCCTTAAGTGAAGCTATTACTGAGGAATGTGACAAGATAGCAAGAAGGTCCTGTGAGAGGGCTTCCTCTGTTTCCCACCTGAGGATGACCCACAGCAGACACGACAGCTCCCCCCTCCCCCAAGTCCCCACTGCCACATGTAGATGCTTCTTGGTTAACTTCTCTAGCCTGATGACAGAGCAGCACTGGTTTACACTTAGAAATCTGGTTTCATTCTTTTCAAAGTTTCATTTTATTTTATTTTTATTTTGAGACAGTCTCACTATGCAGCTCTGACTGACCTGCAGTTCACTGTATAGACCAGGTCTTAAACCCAGCTCACAAAGATCTGCCTGTCACTGCCTTCCAGTGCAGAGACTAAAGGCATGCAACACCAGTCCCAGTTTATAAAATAAACAAGTAACAAAATCTGACCAGCAAGATGGCTCAGAGGATAAAGGGCTTGCCAACAAGCAAGGCTGTCCTCTGATTCTCATGAACACTGTGGCAGATGCATGCTCACACATCTACCTGGACACACATGCACATGCACGCGCGCACACATACACAAAATGTAAACAAAAGCCCACACCAAAGCCTGGAAAGCCTGCTCCTCACAGCCAAGGCTTGACGAGAGGTGTTAGCTTTAAAGGGAAACTTACTGACTGATCAACAGAAGGTCAATCTCAGCCGGGTCGATGAGGTCGATGTAAGGAAGAGCATCCATTCCTTCCAGGCCAGGGTGGATCCCACAGTCCAGCTGAAGGAGGGAACCAACAAACAAAACCCATGACAACCTGCTACACATCTGAGAACGCGCATCCAGCAGACGGACACTGGGACCACGCTCGGAGGAGCCCAGTACATTCGCACTCAGAACAGCCTCACAAAAGCCAGGATGTGCCCACAGCAGGTCATATTTAGCAGCACAGATTTGCTGGGGTTGACCCTACAAATGAGTTCTTCCCCAAGTACTCTGCTAAGAAGTCGGCGGACACTTACAAGTTTGTAGGTTTGGAGCAATTCTCCCACGCGGGAGAGCACCACCAACACGTTCCTACAGGATGGTGACTGGGGATTTATGCTACAAGGTGTTACTTCCAAGTTAATAAATGCTTAAATGAGGGCTGGAGACATGGCTCAGAGGTTAACAGCACTGTCTGCTCTTCCAGAGGTCCCAAGGTCAATTTCACATGGTAGCTCACAACCATCTGTAATGGGATCCAATGCCTTCTTCTGGTGTGAGCTATATTTTACTCATATACATAAAATAAATAAATAAATCTTTAAAAATTTCTTAAAAAACAAAACACCAGACCGACCAAGAGAGCTAAAGAAGAATGGAGCATCAGGGAACTAGTACCAAGTGGCAATAACAGCAACAATAATAATTACCATGATTTTCCTTCCTTTGAACTCCAGAATAATACATGATCTTCCCACTTCTTGCCCAGCACCACTGCAAACAGTCAAGGGGAGAAATAAAGTGATTACAAAGCAATCAAGTAGCCCAGAGCTAGAACTGGAGGCACATACTGACAGCAGCAGCACCGGGGACCACGGCAAACACGTCAGTGTTCAGTATGGCCTGTCTCACTCCACCCCAGAAACATTCAACATACTTAATTCAAACTCTTTCACAACGAACTGCTGAGTTACAACAGGAGTCATTTAATTCCCAAGATAGGACAGTTCTAGAGGTCCAAACAGAGGATGAATGTCAGGGTAGACAAAGGCAAAAAGCAATCCTCGGGCAGGTGCTGTGGGAAGTTTAAGATGTAAACAAGCAGTCGAGTAATACTTCTGGAACAAAGCCATCACGTCAATGTTACCTTGAGCATCTTACCACGTAGCCTGGTCACCATGGTTTCAATCCTTCCCCTTCAGGCACACCTTAAGCTAAAAATAACAGCTTTTTGGATATTTTCCCCCAAATCTAGCTCATGATGAACTCTTAATTGTGGTACTAACGGCCTAGGATGAGTGTGTGTCTGAGAGTGATCAGATCTCAAAGACCTTGTGATCTAGCAGCAAATAGAGATGACATGGACCCTTACCCACTGGGCTAGCCACAGACTAAGAGAATAAGAAACAATAGGGATGTAATCCCAGCACTTGGGGGATAGACAGAGAATAAAGCTGTCCGGTGGGTAGAGCTCTGTGGATCTGGGGCCAGCCTGCCTGACTTACAGGGAGCTCCATGACAGCCAGGGTACATAGTGAGATTGTCTCAAAGAAATAAATGAATAAATTCCACGGTCATTTTTGTCTTCAATTAAAATTCCTTGATTTTTATCTCCATGATTCTCATGTTGTTCTTAAGCCAGCTTCCCCACAGAGCTGCCTGTCTGCATATCTCCCCTAAGCCCCATACTCCATTCACTAGCCTTTTCCAGCTACTTTTCTGAGATCATTCTTGCTGCGAGGTGCAAGCAGCTCTACTTGGTCCTTAATCCAACCAGTCCCCTTGGCAGCCATATCTTCCTTGCTTAAGTGCTCCTTCAAGCACTTCCTGACTTCTCTGAGTCCACACTCTGGTCTGTCTTGCTGACTTTCCCAGGTTTTTCTTTTCTTTTTTTTTCCTTCACTTGTCTGCCTTGGCTTTCACTGGCTTCTAAATGCTAATATCCCAAAGAGTCTCTCCTGGGCCCTCTTTCCAGCTTCATGGTCTTTCCACTCGTGCATCTGACATGCTGTTGAATTCAGAGTCAATGTCTGCAGTTCAAACTATTCTGAATTCTAGACCTCTGGTACATGTACCTGACATTTAAGCCTCTTTGCTGGGAGAGCTGTCAGGCACTTCATGTTTAATAGGCCAAGCTGGTTTTCACAAGTCCCTGGGCTGACTCTTTCTTCCTGGAGTCTTCTGCTCTCAGCTCTTGACACAACCGGCTGCTTTAGATCATCTGGGTCTCAGCTCAGGTTTCATTTTCTCAGACACTTTCTCAACTACCAAGTCTAAGTTATCCTTCACAGCAAGCCTCGCTCTGCCATCCTCATAATTGCAGGGCAACACAGGCTACATGAAGGTATTGTTTATGGTGTACTTCACACATTAAAATGGAAGCTCTATTAAGAAACATGTCTATCTTGTCCACTATGGTACTGCTATGGGGTCTGAAATGTTTGCCAAATGAATTAAAAACTCCCAAATCAGAAGCCTTAGAAATGCTGGGAAATAAACCAGGTACCAAGGGCCCATACGGCATAATTCTATTTATATAAAATGTCTCAAAAAGGCAAATCCACAGAGAAGGAGAATAGACTGGTGGTTGCTGAAGGCTTGGGAGGATGGAGAGACATGAGTGTGAAGCCTAAGGAGCTTTTAAAAAAGGGCAATGCAGATGTTCTGGGGTTGGGAAGGGCAATGCAGATGTTCTGGAGTTGGGTACCACGATCGTAATAAAGGTTATACAACTCTTCAAACACACTACAAACCAATGAAGCTCATCATGAGGGCACACTCCTGTAATCCTAACACTTGGCAAGAGAAATGCATTGGGTTTGTTCCAGGCCAGTGTGTGCTACACAGCCAGATCTTATGTTGACACAAAACATACAGATACATACACACGCCCAAGCAAACAAGCACATACTAGAGTGCACAGCTTTATAAGCTGTATGGTGAGTTACGTATTTACAGTTCCCACCAAGCAACAAAATCCAACTGCTTCCCCTGCTGCACCTCCTGTACAGAACCGAGGGACCTGAGATGTACCCTCTGCCCGTGTTCCGCCACTATCCCTTCAGATGACATCTGATCAGTTATAGATGCCTGAAGACTTTCTTTCTGAACTCCTCAAACCCATGCCTTCCTACTCAGTCACTCCTCACTTCACTGGCTACCAGCGCTCACCACTCAGAACTGGACCGCGACCGGACTCTACCACATTCTCTTCACTTCGTCCATGTTCTTATTCATCTGCCACACTCGAGTTGTTTTTTGTTTTTCTAGTCACAACACTGATTGAAGCAAACAACACGCTACCACTTCTCCTCTAAGTGATGTTTCCACTCTGCCCCTTCTTGACAGCTCAGTGGGTCACTAGCAAAAGGCCACCGAGTGCTTTTAAAAGGAGACGTAGCCACATTTTAATGTAGCGCCACTATATTACAGAGTTGCCTCAAATCTTCTGTTGGCTCACTGTAACTGGTGTGATAAACACTCACACTCTTTAGTACGTGCACAAGGTCCTTCCTAAGTGAACCCTGATAGCCTGCCCAACTCTATCTGCTCATCTGTTAACTGCAACCAAAGTAAAATTGGCCGTAAATCAGAACCTCTCGTGTTCATCTGGAACCTTGTGACTCCTACACTGTCTTTAATTTGTACCAACTCTTTAAGCCTTTGCTCGAACAATTACATTTCCAGGATGTGTGAGATCTGTCAGAAAGTAGTTTCCAACTTTTTTGAGATACAGCAGTGCTGACCTGTGCTCCTGAAACAGATGTCAAAATGAGCACTGAGCACTGCCCAAGAGCATCACTCCTCATGGTGAGTGTTGTTTTCCACATGAGGAAGTGGGTTCACTGAGGTTATTTCCGTATTAAACAGAAGAGTGGGTCTGACTCCAAGGTAGCTGTCTATTTTCACAAACTCATTCCAGCATTCCTCACTTTACAACTTCACCAAAGGAGTGAAATCACTGAACTCAGTCCATGCCTGGTGGTGTTGTTTGATATTTGCTTAGTGTATATAGGGGGATGACAGCAACACTTGGATACATTCATTGGTAAGTGCTCAGTAAACCGTACATTATGAACGGGTAAGAGACATAGTTTCCATCTTCTGAAAATGTACACATTCATGTGGTGCCAGCTAGGGTCTCACACTGAGCAACAATCTCGTGTAGGGTCTCATCGCTCATTCAATACGTTCTACTCCTTTAAATGTGTGAGGCAATTCTCTACAAAACATTCCAGAACACCATTTCCACTAAAACCAGTCTTTTATGGTGATTTAGCTCTTAATTTCTCTCGAAAACACCTCTGCTCTCCCCTCTCCAAATTCCTCCTACCTTCTGCTAAGGTCTGAGCTCTGAAAGTGCAACACTCACACGTCTTTAATTTCCCCGCCCATCTGAGCACGTGTAGGGGCCTGGAAAGGAGGCAAATGCAATTCTTCCTTACATTGTCCTCTATCTGTCAATTCCCTCAAGGCTTGCCCTGATGTACGAGATCCAGAATTGTGTTAATTGGCAACCCTTTCTTTATGAAAACGCCCCATGACCTGGATTTTTTTTTTCAACTCCGACATACCCTCCCCGAGACTGAAGGAAAAATGACATTCAACCTAGATGGCCCCTCGATCAACATTCTCCAAACCCCTTGAGCCTGAGAGGCTGGACCCGCAGCTGCCTCCGCGGGGGTCCCTCCAGGCTTTCACACATCCGGGGGCATCGCTCCCTCTCTAGCTCGTCCCTTACAGGGGTCGGATCAGCAGCTGGTCGCTCTCCTCTGCAGGAATCGCAGACATCCTGGCAGTCTCAGGAGCAGCGTGGACCACGAACCCGTCGTCGCAGTCTCTAAATTCAAAGCACAGCCACAGCGAACTAAGGAAGAAAAAAAAAACCCACCACCAACACACAACTTCCGGCGCTCTAGTGCTCTCGGAACTAGATTCGCCCCTCCAACTTCCGGTCCGAGAACGAGGTTCCCTTGGTTCCCTGAGGTGCGGTTAAGGAACTGGAGGCGCGGCCTAAGGACTGCGCCTGCGCGTCACAGGGGCGTGGCCTAGCGAACCAGGGTAGGAAAACTGGCAAAGCTGGAGCTGGATTACGAACTGGAGTAGCCTCCCGGCCGCCGCCGCTGGACCATCCCACACCCCAGGAGGAGGGGGCGACCGGGAGACGAGCCGAGGAGGCGAGGTGAGAACCGGGCCTCAACCCAGCCGGGCCAGAGGGTGCGGGTGGGGGTGGGGCTCCCCGCAGCCCGCCGTTTCCCCATTCCTTCCACGTCCCGAGGCTGAGGCACCAGCTGAGTGCAAACCGGGGAAAGGAAGAGGAGCTCCGCGCCCGGTCAGGGAGGGACCCGCGTTCCCGTGACAGGTCTACCGCTCGCCTCCCCGGGGACCAGGCTCGGTAAGAGCTTGAGGCCTCGCTCTGATTGCTGCTGCACCGTTGGGGTTGGAGTTAGCTGTCTATATCCTCACTTGTGCGAAGCATGTGTGCAGAGCTTTGGAAGCCTGATCTTGTCGGGGTCCCCAAGTAAACTTTGTGATGTGGGGCAAGTTATTGAATCTCTGTCTTGGTTGACTCCTGTAAATGCAGCTGGGCGTTCCCACTGCTCGGAAGGCTCTGATGACTCTAGGGACCGACCGACTGCTCCAGATGGCCGAAGTGAGGGCTAGCGGTTTCTGGAGCACCTAGTGTTGCCTTTGGCGATGTTGGGAGTTCAGTGCTAGTTGTATATTGGATATCACCTCCCAAGGCAATTCTCAGAACCCTGTAGCGAGCCCTCCTCCACTGTGCTATCTATGCGCTTAAAACTAACTCAGCCTCGCCTTGCACTAGTTAGTTGAGAGAGTGAGTTTTAAGTGGAAGATGGCATATTTTAAGGCTGTGATCTGATGTCTTTTAGTCCAACCTGAAAGTCCAAGGAAGGCTTTCTTAGAAAAGGTCTTAAATAACTCGTGCGAAGCAAGTAGCTGCCAAGAAACTTACAAAATCAGAGTTCTATGGGAGGAAAAGTTGGATAGCATAAGAACGAACATACAGGGAGCTTAGAACCGGCTGAAAACCAAGGTGGCTTTGCATTCCTGAGAGATGAACTCAGTGTGTAGCCATTGTGGAAGACTTGCTTGTGAGGAGAGTGGTTGGCGCCCTGGGTGTCTTGCTGGAGAGATTTGACCTTCCTTAGTCTATTACTCTAGGGCACCTGCGAACGAACGGTTTCCAGCCGGCCTAATACCAGTCTCTAATCTGTGTTTGAAAGAAATCATTGTTATCTTTTTTTTTTTTTCCTAAAATGTGGAGGCAGACCTTAGAGCCACAAGGAGTCCTGTAGGACAAGATCATTCATGCAGAACTGGCTCAGTGGATAAGAGCATCTACCTCTCTTATTGAGGAACCAAGTTCGGGTGCTTGTGGCTCAACTTCAGCTCCAGAGGTAATCCACTCCTCTACACACCTCCTCTCTCTGTCTCTGTCTCTGTCTCTCTTTCTTTCCAGGTAAAGGCTTTTATCTAGAATGTATCTTCAGTGGGTTTGTAGATTCTTTAAATGTATCAAACTATGTACTTGGGCATTTTCTATAGATTGAGAATTCATCACATTCATGCTGGAAGAATGCCATTAGTCTCCCTACAGATGTGGGGCTGGTTACAAAGCCGAGGCAGAGCGCTCTGCCATGTATGCTGGGATCCCGGTCTTTAACTGTATGTGGAGGTTGCAGAACAATGAGGGATTGATGATTTCTGGTTCCTACCAGTGATGGCTTAATTGCCTGAGCAGGAGAGACAAAGGGGAGCAGGTCTGGAGGGAGGGGGGGTATGATCAGCCTCTGGCAGTTTTTGCATTTGATGAATCTCTTTAACATTCATCTGACAGACAGCATCTCCTGGCTCATTTTTATGCATGAATAATTTAGAAGCAAGAACAATTTGCTTAAGTATATGCATCCAGAACAGCAGTAGATGTCAAAGACTAACCAGTTCTTTTCCCCTCTAAGTTCTTGGATTGACGCTGGAAAGCAGGTTTTGAGAAGTTGCAAAGGCCTTAGTGATATCCAAATCATTGCCAAGGATCTGCAGGGATGCTTTAAGATTCACTAACAACAGAACCAGACTTTATTAAGTAACTTTTAAAATTAATATGTAAATATGCATTTAAATTTGTAATCATCTCTCCACAGCAAATGGGTTCTGCATGCTCAGACTTAAACAACCCCAGATTTTTAAAGCGGTTTTATAAAAACAAGACCGAAATTCCATTGTACCAAACAAGTGGAGACTTTTCCCCTTATCATTATTTTCTAAATAATACATCGAAACAACTATTTCTGTAGCACTCAAATATATAATGTTCAGCTCAGTGGAGGGTGCTTGCCTAGTTACATTAAATAATTTAGAAGTGATTTAAAATGTATAGGAGGGTATGTATAGGTTATATGCATTTGTGTGGTTATAGATCGAATCCTCTGTAAATAGCAAGAAGTATGCACTAAAATATTTGTGCCTAAAGTATGTCATATACCAGCACTTCAACTATCATAGACCACCAACACGGTACTTTATGCTGCTAGGTTAACCTAGTTTAGCACAGGCCTAGGCCCATTGCCCCTCCCTCACTATAGGCGTCTTTTGATGTGGACTTATCCTTTGCAGTAACTTTGCACAGTACTCAAATAACCTTTAACTCCCTTTGCCCCTGCCCCAGGCAGTTAGCTTCATGTGTAGTGCCCAGTGCAGTTCTTTTTTTTTTTCTATTTTTTTTTATTTATTGGATATTTTATTTACATTTCATATGTTGTCCCCTTACCCCATACCCACCCACCCGGGAACCCCCTATCCCCTTACCCTTCCTCCTTCTTCTCTGTGGATGTAACCCCTACCTACCCCCCCACTCCCACTTTCCCACCCTCAAAATTCCCACCCCCTGGGGCGTCCAGGCTTCATGAGGTCAAGGATCTCATCTTCCACCTATGCCCAGCAGGGCCCTCCACTCTTACGTATTCAGCTGAAGCCCTGGATCCCTCCCTAAGTGCTCCCAGGCTGGTGGTTTAGATCCTGGGAGCTGTGGTTGGTTGGTATTGTTGCTCTCCTCATGGTGCCACAAACCCTTTCAGCTCCTTCAGTCCTCACTCTAACTCCTCCATTGAGAACCCCATGATCAGTTCAATGGCTAGTTGTGAGCATCTGCCTCTGAATATGTCAGACTCTTGAAGGCCTCTGAGGAGACATCCATATCTGGCTCTTATCAGCATGCCCAGTGCAGTTCTTGAAAGCAGAAGTCTGGTTCTGTCCCTTGACTGCTGTGGGAACCTCTGTAGACTTGCTAGACTCAAGCCATACTTGCCTATGGCCTACAGGCCTTGGGCCTTCTCTCCTTTTGCTCCTGCCATTCTCTTTTAGTTTTCCTCACGGGAATGTTCCCTAATATTTTTTTGTTTTTGTTGTTGATCTACTCATTCCCACTAAAAAATGGACACACACACACACACACACACACCCCTATCCATGGGCCAATTTTGTCCTTCTGCCATGAGTCCCCCAGCATCTAGGTACTTACTGCCTATTCAGGACTGAGTGAGTGGGTCCACTCTTCTTGCTACAAATAAAGTATGCATTGAGAAGGAGTTTGGGTGAAAGGCTGACTAAACTCTCAGGCTCAGGCCTCCATGGTGGGTAGCCTAGAAGGTGGGCTGAGAATGGGTTCTACAAACACACAGAAGCCCTGATCTTGCTGTGGGCGTCTCCCCACTACCACTGTAACTCATTTTCTTCCTCCACGAGGTCCACTGTTCAGCCTAGAAAGGACTGGGTGAGTGAGGGGAACGGAAGCTGCGGTGTGTGGAACCTTGGAGAACAATACAAGGATTTGGTTCTGGCATAAGCATGATCTGTAGAGTGCCAAGGACCAGCCTTGGCTAGGTCCAGGTTCCTGAGAGATGAATGTCCTGGAGCCGTGAAAACAAATGACTTGAAGTCAAATCGTGGGTCCAGGCTGGCGGCCTAGGTTCTGCTGAGATGGCTTTCCAGACTGTGCCCTTTCTCCCTCTCTCCTTTCTCTTCCCTCTCCCCCCCTCTCCTCTTTCCTCTAGACAGATTGTTCTTGCTATTCTAAAAACTCTCTGGTTGAGACAGCTAGCTTTCTGCTCCAGACAGCTCTCTTTGCTAGTAAAAATTCCAAAAACTCTCTAGACAGTTCATGGGTTTTCTGACCAAAGTCAGAAGAGCTGCTATAAAAAAAATTCTTGGAACTTCCCACCAAGTTAGAAATCCTGTTAGAAATATTCTAAAAGTAATTCTTGAGTTTTCCAATCAAAACCATAAAGCCCCCCCCCCCAAAAAAAATTCTAAAAGACCTGTGTTCGCTCTTCAGACAGTCTTCTCTGGATAGCTGCTAGAAAATGTTCTAAGAGCTGTGCCAGCTCTCTAAGTAACTCTTGGGATTTATTTATTTATTTATTTATTTATTTATTTATTAGCTGGGTGGGACCTCATCCTGACCACACCTGGATCTAAATTCCCTTTCCCAGGCTAACCTTTGGGATTTATTTATTTATTTATTAGCTGGGTGGGACCTCATCCTGACCACACCTGGATCTAAATTCCCTTTCCCAGGCTAACCTTGAACTCAGGAATCTGCAGGTGGTTGTGAGCTACCTGACATCACTGAGAACCAAACTCAGGTCTTCTGGAAGAGCGTCAGGCTCTCTTAACTACTGAGCCATCTCTCCAGCTGCGTCTGTAAAGTCTTTAAGGGAACAATAGGGTTTGAAGCCAGGAGCGCACACATTGTTAGGCAAGCGCTAATCCACTGAGTCTCATTCCCAGAGCAGCATCTTATAATTTAATAGAGAAAAGGGATGAAAAAGAATGTATCCAAGGGAAGTAAAAAGAACGCTCCCACAGACATGGAAAAGGCTGATGGTTTCTGCTTGTGTTCTGCAAAAGCATGGTCTGTTGTTGATTTTCTTTTCCTTTTTTCTTTTTTTGAGACCCGGTCTGTATAGCTCTGGTTGGCCTGGAACTTACTCTGTAGATCATGCTGACCTTGAACTCACTGAGATCTGCTTTCCAGTGCTGGGATTAAAGGTGTGGGCCACTACCCAGCTGACAGTACTGGAAGCAATACTTGTTCCACTTGGGCATCTTCTCTGGATCAAGCTATGGTGAAAGATGTTTCGCAAAGGCAAGAAGAGACACAGCAGCAGCAGTTCCCAGAGCAGTGAAATCAGTACAAAGAGCAAGGTAGGAGGCCAGGGTGGGGCAGAAGCACAGAGCTCTGAGGCTACCTCTCCTAACTGCATACAGAGTGCTGGCCACGGCCAGGTCCAGTCTTCATGCTGCCTGCCTATAATGCTTGTTTTTGCACTACATAGCCACTCTGTGTTTGCTCTAATTTTATTATTTTGGCATATTTCTGAAATTTTTAAATTCATTCCACTAAATGGAACTAAAGCTATGCGTGGTTTCATTAAAACACACTGATTTAACATTTTTTAAAAATTTTATTTTATGTATATGAGTGATCTGTCTGCCTGCATGCCTGTCTGCCTGCATGCCAGAAGGGGGCGTCAGTGTAGATTGTTGTGAGCCACCATGTGGTTGCTGGAATGAACTCAGGATCTCTGGAAGAGTAGACAGTGCTCTTAACTGCTGAGCCGTCTCTCCAGCCCTGATTTAACTTTTTTTTTTAAAAAAAAACTTTTTTTTAAAACGTTTATTTATTTGAGGGATTGAGGCATATTCTGTGGCTTGTGGAGATCAGAGGGATAACTGGCAGGAATTAGTTCTAGGCTTCCACCATATGGGTAGTGGGGATTGAACTCAGGTGGTAGGACTTGGGCAATAAGTGTTCTTACCTGTTAAACCCATCTCAGTGACCCATATATTGCCACTTTTTTTCTGGATGCAATCTGTAGCATCTGTGGAGCTCTGGCTCTGCCTAAGCAGCCAAAGAGTTGAGCTCTCCAAAGGAGGGGGGGGGAGTCAGATCAAGGCAGGTTGCTAGGTCTCTACCGCTGCCCCCACTGCTCTGGAGTCAGTGCAGTGCAGTTCCTCTGTGGAGCAACAGGGCGTGGCCACTGAGCAGGAAATGAGTGCAGTAGGCTGGAGTAACAAAAGCTTGGGAGAGAATTCCCTTCCCCAGAGTGTTACAGCTCCATACGACACTCTCAAAGTGTACGACACTCTCGTAAGGTCTTTGATTCCTTGTGGTCAGGGTCTTACATACATTTTGGGGTGGGTTGGGGGTCTAAAAGCAGATGCTTTCTATTGGCTTTAGAGATGTTAAGGATGCCTCATCTGCAAGTGGAGGAGCTTCAAGCCCTGCCCCCACGTGACTGATTGTCCTCTCCATGGGGTGTTGTGGCCACCTGTTCCAGGACAGGAACCTGGTCACACCTAAGGTCCTCAGGTATGAGGATACGGAGGTTTCTGAATCCACTGGACCTTACTAAGTTTTCTATCTGATGGCATGGTCTACTGCCCACAATATATAGCGTCTTTTCTCTTCTTCCTTGAGATAGGGTTTCAGGTAGCTCAGGCTAGTCTTAATTCATAGCAATGTCTCTATAGCAGGGCATACCTTTTATCCCGATTCTTCCTTTCCCAAGTGCTAGAGTCACCATGCTTGGGTCTAAGTTTTTTTTTTTTAATTAATTTTTTAAGGTTTATTTTATTATTAGTTATCTGTACATATATATGAGGGATATTATATGCAGATGAGTGTGGTGGTGACCTACAATGTCTAAAAGAAGTCACCGGAGCCCTGAAGCTGGAGTTATGGTGAGTTCTGAGCTGGGAACTGAACTCAGGTCCTCTTGAAGAATTGCATCATTTCGCCAGCCCATAAAATATCATTTTTAAGTGAAGTTGCAGGCATTGAGGGGCGAGATACCTCAGAGTCTAGGGTTTGTTGTTGTTGTGTGTAACAGTATTTCCTTCACAGCAAGATTGCTTAAGTTTAACCAGATATTAGAAACGTTGCCTGGCAGTACCAATGGATTTATGAAACACTCACCTGAGTCAGGGTTTTCACAGAATGCCATTTCTAAGGAAACAAAGGACATATTTATCCCTTAGAACTAGTTACATAGTTTTAACCTTGGTCAATGGTTTTGTTGTTCTGTTCACATTGACAGCCATGCCATCTGCTAATATCCCTGAGCCTGCTGTGGGCTAGAGGAAGTAATTGCAGAGTGCCAGGTTAAGTGCCGGGGAGACTCCTGGGCTCTCCTCACATATCAGACTGAGACATTGCTCAATGGTTGTCTTTCTGCACTCCATTCTTTTGAGGTTCCATGGAAATAATAGGAAAGCAAGAAGAGGCGTTCATGAAGGCTCCAGTGTAAGGCAGAGTGGAGGAGGGGAGCTAACAGCCTCAGCCTGAAGACGCCCATCACATGCATCCGGTGTTGTCTGGTTGCAGAGCAGTCACCTGTCACATGGCTTTTGAAGTTGGCTGTGGAAAATATCTTTAGCCTTAGTCAGTCTGCTTGAATCATTGACTAGATATTGTGTCAGCTCAGCTTAATAAGAAATTTGCATCAGAAAAGACATGTGTCTTACTTACTGTCCTTCTCAGTCTGTGGATTCCAGCCTTGGAGGACTTTCGAGATCCAGCACTGTCGCCAGCCTTGACACAGACTCCACTAAAAGCTCAGGTATGAGGAGGGCCGGGTGACTTCCAGACTGATGTTGTGTTTACTCTGGTGTTTTATGTGGTAGAGCGATGTCTCCTGATCTGGTGTTTCTCCTTCCCCTCTGCCAACTTCTGGGAAGTTCAGAAACTGACCACAGTTTGGTGAGATGGGGTAGGCACGTAGGCAGTGTTCTCAGTGGGTCTGTGAGCAAGCATTTGAAAACATCCCATGGCAGTGGCTTAGTGGTTCCAAAACAGCTTTTTAATAGGTAGGGTAGCACAGACTGAATTATACGTGAGCTTGATGTTTATGGGAACTGGACAGATGTGTTAGTGGTGAAGGATTTAGAAACCGTTAACCTCGAGGGCTGCCTGCAGATACTCTAGTTGAGATGACCAGCAGACACACAAGAAATGAAGTTGTGTGTCCGTCCCAGACCTTTGCAGTTCTACAATTACCTCAGAGTTGTGGCTTCTTAGAAATTAGGAGACTCCTAACTGAGCTCCATAATTAGCTAGTAATTGGAAATAAACTGCATTCATTTTTATTTTACCTAAAATAATATTGGCACCTAAAATTCATTATCTTTACCTCCAGAGGTTAAAATGTTGGCATCAATCTCATTCACAAACAGCATAAATATAATTGCACTGTATTTCCTTAGCACTGTGTCACAGTGCTTTGTGGGAGTTTCTATACCGGCTAGATCTTGCTGCCATTTGTTAAGGAACACCCTATCCTTCACATTGTTCTATATAAGTTAAAAAAAAAAAGAAGAAGAAGAAGTTGGTGTTTCTGGCAGAATGCTAGAACAGGCGTCTTGAGTCAGGAAATGAAGTGACCAATAGCTTTGTATTATAACGGTACTACTATTCATTATCTAGTCGGCTTTTACAAGTTTTGTTTATTTTGAAATGAAAGTCATCGGTATCCATTTGCCCTTATTACTGAGACTTTTATATATCGGGCGTAGGCATTCACTGAGGAAAAAGCTTAATAAAAATTTAGATTCCTCCTAATTATATTAAAACATCTTGCACTTAGAAGCTTGTAACTAAAAGCTGGGTGTAGGACCAGGCATGGTAGTGACTGCCTTTAATCTCAGCACTTAAGAGACAGGTGGCTGTCTATGAGTTTGAGGCCAGCTTGGTCTACGTAGTAAGTTCTAAGCTAGCTAGAGCTAGATGGTAAGGCCCTGCCTCAAAAACCAGTAAAAAACAAAATGAAAAGCTGATATGGTAGAATATACCTTTCATCCCAGCATCTGGAAGGCTGAGACAGGTGGCTCTGTGACTTCTAAGCCAGCCTGGTGAACACAGTGAAACTCTCAAAAATGAAGCCCGGGCTGGGGATGGCTCAGAGGTTAAGACTGCAGAGGGCCCTGGTTGGGTTCCCAGGTACCACGTGAAAGCTCACGACTGTCTGCAGCTCGTTCCAGGGCACCCATCTCCTTTCTTGCCTTTTCAGGCATTGGATGCCTATGATACAGATCTATAGATTAAAACACCTGCACATGGGCAATAAAAATAAATCTTAAAAACAAAAACTATCATTATAGTTAGGGTTATATCCTAATGACAGTCTTGCTTTATACTATACATTTTAATTTTATATTATTTATATATCTTATGTTCTATAATATGTATAACATATATAATATATAGAAAAGGACTGAGAATGTTTGTAAAGTAAGCATCACTTTTCAATGTCTATTGTAATCTTAGGACAAAGTAACAGCAATTTAGACACATGTGCTGAGTTCCGAATAAAGTACGTGGGTGCCATTGAGAGACTGGCCGTGTCTGAGGGGAAGAGCCTTGAAGGGCCACTAGACCTGATCAATTACATAGACGTCGCCCAGGTGAGTGACAGGACAAAGCTGGGTTCCAACTGAACCCTCTGGCTGCTAAATGTGCAGCCTTGAAGAAAAATGTTTCTCTTGGGTTCACTGCAGGGTGCTCACCATCTTTGGCTAAAGCTGGTTCTCATCCTGAGTCAGCATGGAGTCAAGATGGTGCAAGGGGTCCTGGAGATGGAGACTCACAGGAAGAAACAGCTTTTCTCCAGGCATAGAACATTTTACTTTATGGGATTGATTGGTATCCTTGCTTGATTGAAGAACTGAATGCACTGACCTCTTGGACTCTGTAGATTTTTCTTTAAAACAATCTTTCAAAGCTTTACCCGACTGAACTGGTTTCACTGATGTAAAAACTCATAACATGGACCAAAAAAAAAAAAAAATCCCAAACCAAAACCATCTGTCTCTTTCTGTCTTTTTCAACACAGGGTTCTTCTATGTGGCCTGGCTGTCCTGGAACTCATTCTATAGATCAGGCTGGCCTCCAACTCAGAGATCTGCCTGCCTTCTGGCTGAGTCCTGGGATTGAAGGCATGAGGCACTACTGCCAATGTATCTCCTTTCTTAACTCCATTTCCAACAAGAATTAAGCTGAGGGGCTTTGAAAATATACTGAGGTCAGAAAAAAAATCACTGTTGGAGGGCTAGAAAGGCAGTGTGATGGTTATGAGCACAGCTGTTCCTATAGAGGACCCAGGTTCTGTTCCCAGGACCCAGATGGTGGCTCACAACCATCTGTGACTGCAGCTCTAGAGGACCAACCCTCTCCTCTGCGTCCTTAGGGTGCACACCCATGGCACACATACATATAGGCAGGCAAAACACCTATATACGTTTTTAAAACATCTTTAAAAAAAATCTGTGTAAAAAAAATTAAGATGCCATACTGTTTATAAAATAAAATTATAAGATCTACACATTTACCTTTATATTACCTACATTACCTATACATTTATCTTGAAAGGCAGAGACAGGCAGATATCTGAGTTCAAGGCCATCATTGTCTGTATAGCAAGAGCCCCAGAACTGCCAGGACAACCTTCCACCTCTTCGGTCATAGAGACGGGGAGCATTAGACAGGACTTGTATCTTTATGGCTGTGAGGGAAATTACACGGAAAATTAGCGAATCTAATTTTGCAGTTTAGCAGAACTTTTGGTAGAGCCTGTTAGTTATCCGTGACTCAGCTTGGAATATGGTCATTTAAACAAAGCGTAAGTGACAAATACTGTTATGCAGAAAGATGTTCAGGACTCTGTTAGCACTTTCGTCATTCTGTAAGGATGGCTAAGTTATCCATCCACCACAGAGCTTTTGTTTGGTAAAATGCCATCATTGACAGTAGCATTTTGATCCTTGTAACTTGTCTTAGATCTGTGAGAAATGGTTGACAGGGTGTTATTCTTCTCAATATTGCCAAGAGCCAAGGCATCTGGAGATGGCTCACTTACTGTAACTCATCAGTCCACAAACCGTTTACAGTACAGGACATCTTCTGTCTGCTAGTAATATCTGTATTGAGAGAAGACAAATTAGGCAGCATTCTTCGGTGGATGGGACCAGCTGATCTGCTGGGGGTCAGGGTATGATCGGGTATCATCCAACAGCTCAAACTGGTGATTGACAGCTTTGTGAGTGGAGTTATTTGTAATTCTCCTAGGATCTGTAGCTAGCAAGGTATAACTTAACAGTCAGACAGAAAATGACTATGAGAAAGATGGTCCTTGCTACCTAACTTCCCAGTCAGTCATTCCTTGTCCTGATGCGCTTTGAGGATTTTAAAATGTAAGTAGTGTAAGTTTTGTTTTCAGACAAGGTACACAGCTGTTGCTGTCCTGGGACTTGCTGTGTAGACCAGGCTGGCCTTTAACTCACAGGGATTTGCCTGCCTTTGCCTGCTTCTGCCTTCAGAGCGTTAGGACTAAAAGTTGGCACCAACACACCTGGCTGAATAATAATTTCCATTAGTGTTTACACCACAAAAGGACAGACCAGTACACAGGGAGTGGATAGATCTGAATTTGGGGGGGGGGGGATAGTTGTGAAAACTGGATTCTAAAGTGTCTGAGGCTGTGACAACCAGATTCCAAGTGCAACTAACTCAACCTAAGATGATCTTGTGGTTTTAATGTGTGCTGTGATTTATTTTCTCTTTAAAGCAAGATGGAAAGTTGCCTTTTGTTCCCATGGAAGAGGAGTTTATTCTGGGCGTTTCTAAGTACGGCATAAAAGTCTCAACCACGGATCAGCATGTAAGTGCAGTGCTCAGTCAGTACATTCTATGCGATCAGGAGCCCCAGCCTATAAGGGCCACACTTGGACTCCTGTGTCCTGTGGGTTTGCCTGGTTGCTAATGTTAAGCTCTGCTTGTTCCTGAGGGTGGGCATGGGCTTCTTTTGTATGTCCTACATACATGTGGGCCCCCACTGAGTTTCATCTAGGGGCACCATATCAATTGAAAGTAGCTGTTGGTTGGCATGAAGGCCAGGCAGCGATGTGGACCTTATTCCTATTTCTCTGGGTTTAAACAGGAAAGTGTGATCCTGAAAACAAGTCTCCCCATAACTAGGTATACCAGTGTCCCTTGGGCTGAGAAACAGTCTTTTCTCCCAGATCTGTGGGCCTACCTTTTTAAGCCCCCTAAAACATTCTACATGTTTCCCGAGAACTGAGAAACATTGACAGCCACGTCCCAGCTTTCTGAAGGTCTTGTGATTTTCACAGGGTGTCCTGCATAGGCATGCCCTGTATTTAATCATCCGGATGGTGTGTTACGATGATGGCCTGGGAGCTGGGAAGAGCTTGCTGGCACTCAAGACCACAGATGCAAGCCATGAAGAATACAGCCTGTGGGTTTACCAGTGTAACAGCCTGGTGAGATGTCTCAGTTTGTTCCTATTCAGTAGATGAAATGGAGAGACTGAGTTCTTCCACAGCTTTCAAAGGCTGAGAAAAGCCTCTCCTCAAGGGCCATCCTCAGAATGAATAAACTCTGGGTCAGCAGCTATTCAGACAGGCCAGGAGCTGTTTCTGCTGGGCGACACTGACCTGGCTGGGTTGAGTCAAAGCTCTCCCTACTCCCGAGTTGCCACCTTAGTCTCAGGCTTAGCGCCAGCCATTACTATATGCCATGTCAGGAGTCCAGGTGCAGATGTGTAGGTTTGGAGGAAGCAATGTGAGGTAGGCAGGCAAAGCTCCTGGAGAAATATGTAGACTCCGTTTGCACTCTCTCTTCTTTTCACTAGTTCTTGAGAGTTCTGTACAATTTGTGTTGGTCATGTATCATCGTCCGCCAACACTGCATCTCTTCCTATAACGCAGGAGCAAGCCCAGGCAATCTGCAAGGTCTTATCCACAGCGTTTGACTCCGTGCTGACCTCTGACAAGTCCTGAACTCTACAGCCAAGTGGAAACTGACCCACCCAAAGCTTACCTGTTCCTACATCTGTCTGCAGCCATGGACTGTTAGAGGGTATAATGCTCTGATCTGGTTTTCTAAAAGTGTAATGTATAAAATATTGGCCTTACACTAAAAGGTGTTGTTAACATTAGGTCAACTTCCAATAAATGACCTGCTTTCTGAACAAAAGAGAAACCTTGGGGTCAGGACAGATGGCTTGGTACTTAAGGGCATTTGCAGAGGACCTGGGTTCAGTTCCTCAGCAACAATATGGTGGCTCAAAACTGCTTGTAACTCCAGTTCCAGGAGATCTGACTCCCTCTTCTGACTTCCTCAGGTACCAGGCATACATGTGGTGTACATACATACACACACACACATAAACACACACACACACATACACACACATTCAGCCACTCACACATACACATAAAAATAAAACCTAAGAATGATAAACCTCTGTTGTCTTTTTTAAATGCATATACACTTAATACCGACACATCATCCAAGTTTGCTCTGAATGACTTACACCCTGTAGCTTCCCAGGGGCTCTGGATCACTTGCTTGAAACTGAGAAACAGAGGTTTGGACTGGGGAACCTCAATTTCACATGGCCTTGGAGCGACAGTGTCAGCTTAGGACAAAAAGCACCTTACCAGAAAGGTATTGTCAAGATAATACCCAGAGTTCAGAGAACCTTGGAGGACGCCTGCTGGGTGCCCATAGCTACTACCCTACAGATGAAAACCATGTTTGTTTAAAAGCACTTTATTTTTTTCCAGTCAAATGACTGGTTAACAGGAAGTCAATTTATTAAACATGCTCTAATTATAAATCACTGCATTAAGGACAATGAAAATAATCCGTTTAGGTTATACAGTATATACAGTTGCGCTGCAACTAGACCAAAGTAATCAAGTGAATGAATTGAATATCATACATCTCAAAATAGCATTCTAGGCTGCAGGTCATTCTCCACCCTCAGGAGATCCCATTAGTCTGTGCACCCTATTTCTGAGTCACCTTCCCTCCAAGTCAGACCTGATGGAAAGCGGCAAAAAAAAAAAAAAAATTAAAAAATTAAAAGAAAGAAAGAAGCCCGAATTCCGCAGCTGACTCTCGTGAAATGCAAACTTTAAATATAAATAGTATCTACAATGCTTTCCTTTCAGTTGCTTTCTCTTTTCAATTTGCAAAGAGCAAGTAACAGGAAGGACAATTAGGAAGGAAGTCAATAGAATTTCTCTTCTGGTAAAAAGTACTATCCATTACTGCACAATAGTGCCACCAAATTAGAGAGTGGAAAAATATTTCCTAGGTATTTATGTACCAGTGAACCTGATAGATTAGCTTGGGACTGAAGTTAAAATGTTGACATAAATCAACTAGACTCCTCAGAGAGCTGGCACCAGGTCTCTAAAGACCGATGATACAGATGCGGGTGGGGGTGGGGTTGGGAGTGGGGGAGGCACCGAAAAGGAACTGGGAAGTGCAATGTGCAAACTGCATCTGTTCACGCTTTTAAGTCTATGAGAAAAGTGACTAGGAGAAGGGCTCAAAGGACAGAAATTAACAAGTGGTGAAAAACAGATGCAGTGTTGGGGGGAGGAGAGGGGGAGAGAGAGAGAGAGAGAGAGAGAAAGAGAGAGAGAGAGAGAGAGAGAGCGCTCAATTACAGATCTAACACGTTTTCACCCAGAATCTGAAAGACAGGAAGCAGTCACTATATAGCATCATAAGACATTCCAGTTTGTCCTGTTTTCCTTGAAAGAAACAGAGAATGGGAAGCTCTAAGCTTGTAAGAGCCTTGCACAAAGAGAGTAAAGAAGGGGCTGCTTTGCTAAAGTGTGCCACCTCGGCAGCAACATGGCCTCACTGTCAAGCTTAGTCCTCAATCCATTCCTTTTGTTCAAACTCCAGCTTTCGTTCAAGCCCTATGCTTGCCTCTTTCATTTCCCAACTACTATTCTTACCTGTGCTTACCGTTATTAAGTAGAGGTATGACAGTCAAGTTCATGGAACTAATGAGTTTTGATTTTTATCATATACAACCTAGTTCCCCTCCACCACCCCGCATAGTGTAAATTTAGGAGTGATGCGATGGGCTTACATGGTGTAACTGGGATGTTTGGGGGTACTGGGCTCCCCAAGATCTACAGATTTCTGATAGGCTCTTGAATACAAACAACTGGATAGGCTAAATTTCAAGACAGTGTAGCTACCATTCCTTTTGGAGAATCCTATTAAAGACAAGAACTAAGCTGAGTGGGTGTCCTCGGGAGCTGGGAGGGGAAGGCAGGAGCACGCACCCGGACACGGAGGAATGAATGTGACTCTTACTGTGGTCTGCACCACGTATTCTAATCCTGTGTGATGGGGGACGCTGACCGAGGCAAATCCTAAAACACGCAGGCATACGAGCTAGTTTACTGCTTTGCAATCCATCATCCTTAGTTTTTAACCAAATTCAGGAACTGCAGTTTAGAAATACCTGGTGTAGAACAAACTGCTGTTAGCTACGTTGTGATAACCCACCAGTAGTATGCTAGGTATGATTGTTTACAACAATGGGTTGTACATACATGCAGGAGATCATGGCAGCTGCCACCTCACAGGCGGGGTCCAGAAAAGTACAAGGCTAACGTATAAATTGTCACGTTGCTTTAAACAGACACTGGCTGAGTTTCAAAGGAATACACGTCTTTAAAGGTGGATGGATGGCTTTGTGGACAAAGTCCAGGGTAGGGCAACAGACTCGGAAGCAGCATGGTGCTGGCTTGCTAAACTGACTGTGCTTAAACAAGATAACTAATGTCAGAATCAGGCTAAGGAAAGCTTTAAGAATCCCCCAAATTTGTTTAAGCTGTTTTTAGGCTCAGCTACTCCTGGAAATACAGGATCCTGGGTATACAGTTAAATAGCTTCTCATCCCCCCCTTTTAGGAAATTCCGCTTTTCCTAGTAAAAGTATAGCAATGTTGCGTGAAAACCACAACTTATTAAAAAAACAACCTACTTATATATAAAACTCGCCTCTGAGTTTTTAGAACAGGACAGTGTCATGAAAAAATGGTCTGCTGTACAACACAGTCCGTGAGACTGGCTATGGCTAGCCTTGGTACCAGTAACAAAACGGAACATAACTAAACAAAGGCTTTTGTTTAGTGGCAGTTTAGTCAGCAATAAAGTGCACGAACGAGACGGGAAACGCTCCTTTGCGGCCGGGCTCTCCATCGATGTGGCCAATCTGAAATGAGCAAGTTTGGGTTACAAGGGTTACAAACATGGAGGGGCAACACAACATCTGTGTTTGCTCAGAGGAATCTCTTCCGCTAAAGGATGCTAGAAAAACCACTGGGCCGTACATTCTTTTTCCTTCCTGTCTGTGCTTGCTAGAGCACCTGCCTCCTTCCACAAGACTCGTACACCCCCAGATGGCTACAGGTGAACACAGATGTTACCCCTGGGCCCCAGCAATATAAAGACACCAGGAAGCCAGCTGGGCTCATTCCCCACTAGTACATGAATGAAGAAACTATACCCAAAGTCATATAACTTGGCAAAAGTATGATGTGGCTCCATTCATATTTTATCAGGCATTTGTAGAAAGGCTTGAAAACATTCAGTTTGGGTAATAACAGGATTATAGCCATGTACAATCTCAGCCATGTTTATATATTGGCAAATTCTAAAGGAAAACTGCCAAAGTATACAGTTGTTTTTTCAAAAATGCCACTGAGAGCTGTGGGTCCTCAGGAGGGGGCAGGCTGCGTAGTTACGGCTAACATTTACTTCTTTTGTGCCTGTCTGAATTTTCCATACTTTTGGAAATAGATACTTTTCATATGGCTAAGCCTGTGTCAGCTTGGAGTCTCATCCATAAGTTAGTATGTAAGATGGTGTGATTCCATGTCTGCTTCCAACTGATGGGTGTTGGTTGGTGTTTATGCGGAGGGACAAGGTCGGGACTCAGACAGTGCTGGATTCTCACCAGGCCTGGCCACGCACAGGAGTTCCTCAGCATGAAGAGGAGGAGGGAGTTTGGTTGCTATGGCCCCTAATGAGAGCCTGTGCTGAGGGAGGCTGACGGGAATGGGAATCTTCTGTCAGTTGCTTTAAGAAAGGCCAATGTAATCAAGCCAACAGCAGTGCTCCAAGGCAGAGTTCCAGACTCACCAGAAGCAGAGAACTTAGGGGTTAGGTCCCAGAAGAGGGCTTACAGGAGGGGCAGTTACAGATCAGGTCAAACTCCTTGTTATTGACAAGCAAAGTCCTCCCCAAGTTCTGAGGTTCCTTTTGAAATACTTGTATCTGGGCTTTGTCTATACAGCAGGGCCATGAGTGGCCACTGGGTGGCAGCCCCAGCCGAGTGCTTTCTGTGTATACCTCATTCTACTGGTTAATTCCTAACCCCATCCCCAGCCCCGACCTGTTTCATTGCTGCTGCCGCTCATGGCATCTTTGCCACAGTGCTGTGAACAACTTCCTTGCAGAAATGATGTCACCCAGGTCTATAGACCCAAGCACCTGCTGCCAAGATCCGTAGCTTGTAAGTGGTTGAGTCTGAGCTGCAAAGGCTTCTGGGAGAAGCCCAGCGCCCATGCCACTCTTATGCTCCCCGGGTGCTGAGTAGCAGATAGCTTTTGTCAGGGTCAAAGTGACATGAGGACTCTGCCCTGGAGCCCAGCTCTCTGGACGCCTTGCTCCATAAATTGGTGGTGAAGGGTTGTATGTGAAAGTCTGGGGTCTCGAAGCTCTTGATCAAGTGTGCTCTGAAAATGTAGCCTAAGTGATCTATAGCGAGGTGTTCACCTGAGGGACAGATAAGGCCCACGTGGAGGAAGGTGCCCACACAGGAGACACCAAGGGATGAGGAAGGCACTGCCCAGCAGCCTAGTAGCAGCACCAGATCCAGACTGCTTAGGCTGAGAGCTTCCATTGTTCACAGGCCCCTTGGCCCCACCCTTACTTGTGCACAGCCCCACCCCCACCCCCACCCCCGACTCACCCACCACTCCTGATCCTCTTCCCCATCCACAATGATCACATCGCCCTCAGAGAAAGTCAGCTCGTCCGGGTTGTCAGCCACGCAGTTGTAGAGCGCTTTGACTCGCTTGGGCTTTGACTTGGTCTACATCAGAAGAGGAGGCATGAGGGCTAGGCTGGTAGGAAGCCGAGTTCTTAGGCAGAGAGAACAGGCCTCATGCCTTCTGCTTGCCTCATGAGCCACGTACCTGGGCTCAGAAACACACAGAGGTCAAGACAGTGGGGCTGGCCGGGTGCAGCAAAAGCTTGGGCATAGCCAGGAAATGAAACACCTGGGGCCTGGCGCTCATGAGGACTATGAGCAGAGGGCCAAGCTGGCCGGCTCCCCAGATCATGAAACAGCACCAGAAAGAATCTCCCAACCCTCCACCAGGGAGCAGCAGGAAGCCTGGTTGCCTTAGAGCCCTCTAACACAGGTAGGCTAGCAGGCTAGCAGGCTTGTGCACTTACCGCCTGTGACTTCCGAGGCATGGGTGCAGGGGGCTGCAGGGCCATGGCGTTGGACAGAGGACCAGAAGCTTCTGTTCAGAGAGATACACTGCGTTAGAGCCAAGACAAAGCAACTTTATAAGACACCCCACCCCTACCCCACCCGCTGTAACTGTAAGACAACTGTAAGAATCACAGGGTTATATTTGAAAACAGGACTCTGCACAAGTTTGGTTGTGTCAAGAGAAAAGGCCTATACAAGGCAGAGAACTTCCCTCCTTTATATATACCTGACCAGCTGCCTAAAAATCCACAACCCCCAACCCAACTCCACCCCATCCCATCCCTGCAGAATCAACCTGCTCCAAGTTAAAGAATTACCAGGTCCTCTCGGCTGTCCTTTGTTGACCAGTGGGGTTGGCTTGTCAGTCCTACAAGGAAAGAAATACAGATTTATTGATCACCGAGGCCACTTGCTCCGACCATAATCCCCTGATAAGGAACCTGCCATCAGGCCATCAGTGCTTAAGCTTGTGCTCAATGTATGCTATCACGTGTGCCTTTTCCCCACGCTTGGAAAAGGAAAGGTCCAGAGTGAAGTGCTAGATCCTGATCCTAACCCAGGGCAGAAGCTAAGCACCCATCACTGCTTCCATTCATTCTAGTACTCCAGCCCCTGCCTGAGTCTTCATCACCACGTGAAAGGGAAGAGTTGAAGCTTAACCTCAGGCCTGGGTGGCCTGCCAGGGTCTGTGTAGGCACCGCGCAGGTCCGTGCTACTGGTGCCTCTGAGCTCCGCGGTGCCTGGCCTGGGAACCAATGTTGTGCTCCAGAGGCAGAGCACAAGCCTGTCCAGCATTTCCTATAGCTGTGCAATAGAGACAGACAAGTGCTCCTCACAGCAGGCATAGGGGGCTCTATCCATTCAGACCTGCCACAGTAGATATGCAGAGAGGCAGCTTTTCACCTATAGAAGGCGGGACATTAGCTTTGCTCATTCTCTAAAGGGAAAAGGGACTAGGGTCTGTGAAGGGCTAAGACAGAAGTTTTTCTCTCAGTTGCCTAGCCAGGTTGGTGGGACCTAGCAGAAAGTAAGACAAACAACTGGGCAGGCAAGCCTTGGGAGGGGCCGAGGAAGCAGGAGGCAGCCTGGGATGGGATTCTTTCCACAGCGGGTCACTTCCTTCAGACACTTCCTCTGCAGCCCCAGTGGGTGCTGGTGTCTGCAGCCTCAGGACGAAGAGGAAAAGAACAAGACTTGGTTGTATTTTTATTTTTTTTTCCCCAAGGGGCTGAAAACCGTAAGAGCCAAGGTTCAATTTGATTCCCACCGCCTCTGGGCGTATATGTCCTAGCAGACACTATTAAGTGGAGGGCCAACTTCCTACTCCGTGTTCAACTCAGATGTGAAGTGCTCACACGAGATACTTAGCAGAGAATCATAGTCAACCAGCCTTGTCCTAAAAGGCCAGCTGGTTCAAGGCCAACCTAGGCCAATACAAAAAAAAAAAACAAAAAAAAAAAAAAAAAGTAAAACAGCCAAATGATACATTTTTGTGAGTTAGTCTCTGGCAACTATTCAGTTCTGTCTGTTACCAAGGTGGGAAGGTACCATGGATGGTGTATCAGCACACAGTGTGCCATGCCAATGAAACTTCACTTATAAGTGTGATGATTTGCATGAGATTGGCCCCTATAGACTCATATATTTGAATTCTTGGTCCCCAGTTGGTAGAACTGTTTAGGAAGGATTAGGAGGTGTGGCCTGTGGGAGGACGTGTGTCACTGAAGGTGGGCTTTGAGGCTTCAAAAGTCCATTCTATTCCCAGTTGGTTCTCCCTCTGCCTTGTGCCAGTGGATCAGGATGTGAGCTCTCAGCTACTGCTCCAGGGCCATGCCTGCCTACCTGCTGCCATGGTCTCCACCCTGATGATCATGGACTCTAACTGTGGAACTGTGAGCCCCAATAAACTCCTTCTTTTGTAAGTTGCCTCGGTCACAGTGTCTCTTCACAGCAAGAGAAGAGAAACTAAGACTCAGGTACTAAAATCTTAAGTCCTGGGAATTTCACATGCCATGAAAGATTCTCAACTGAAAATTTCACCCAACATGTGAACCCACTGACAGCTTGTGACTCATGGACATTAGCAGCGGCAGCAGCTTGCCTGTAGGCCTGCTCTTGCTGTCTCCTGCTCTAAAAGAACAAATATGACACGACAGATTTATATCATGTTCAAAATAACTGGCGGTGGGGTAGTGGTGGTGGTGGTGGTGGCGGCGGCGGCTTATACACCATGTCTTCCTTTACATGGAATTCTACCAGCAGTGGCAACCTGGGTCCATTCACCCAAATCTGTCCTAGACAAGCCAGACCCTGATAACATGTGCTTTGTCACCGCATGCCTCCTCTTTCAGTTGGATTAAAACCAGCGAGATGGCCCTGGACATAAAACTCATCCATGGTCCTATCTTGGCTTTTGTGAGCACTGGGGAAGTGGGCGGGAGGAGGATGCTGGGAGCTGGTGCTTGCTGGCTAGTACCACTGTTTTCATCTGCCTGGAGAGTGCTAGGAGTCCATTGTTCCTTGTCCAGAATTTTAAGACATGACCTGGCACCTTAAAAAGCAGTATCTAGGAGCCAGAGAATCCAGGAATGTTCCAAGAGGAAGAGGAAGGAAACACAAGCCCAGGAGAGGTCCAGGCCATGGCTGTCTAGCAGAGGGGCTTGGGAAGCATACTTGTGACAGTGTAACTCAGTAGGCAACCTTAATCAAGTCACCATTTATGAACAGTACAGTGTGGATGTGTACTTTGGGCTCTAGAAGGATGTCTCAGCAAAATATAATACATGCGACATTCTGATTTGAAAATGTCAGACTGCAGCCTGGAGCTGTTGCTCAGTGAGGAGTGCATTCATAGAAGGTGCAAAGCTCTGGGTTCCATCCCCAGTATCATAAAGGAAGTAGGATGTGGGAAGAGAGAGAGGTGAGGGAGGAGGGAAAAGGTAGGAGGGAAGAGGGAGGAAGGGAGGAGGGAAAAAGGGAGAAGGGAGGAGGGAGGAAGAAGGGATAGCATATTGAAAATACACTTCCCAAGCAAAACAATTAGAAATGAAAATTCAAACCAAATGTACAAAGAACTGGAAAACAAAGAACGTTAGAAGCTGGAAACATCAGCAGGAATTATAACTGATCTAGTTGACCAAGCAAGAGACTCATACACAAGTGTAACAAAAGCCCTGAATAGTTCCAGGTATATGGTAATATCTCTGTCAGGCTAAGGACCTCTGGAAGTGGGAGATAGGGAAGGCCATGCAATGAGCAAGAGGATTCACCAAGAACAAACCACAACAAAATCCCCAAAGCTATATCAGGAGCTGACAAATCCCTGGACTCCCAGGTACCCCTCCCCAGCACACTGAAGACAGCTTCTATTCCAGGGAGGACACAGGGCAAGACAATCTCACCCAGGGACACCAGAGGCAGCTGGCAGGAATATTTCAAAAGCAGAGGGACCAAGTATAAGATTAATTTTAATCCCAGAAATCATACACCTTTTAGGCAGACACCATGAACTTGAGTTGCCCGAGGAGCGGGGAATCACTCAGACGGAGAGTTCCAGAGACAAACAGCCCTACCACCTCAGGGAAACCTAGTGTTATGAAATGTTCCCCACAAAGGTTCTCATGCTTAAATGTCAGCTGCCGGGGGATGTACTTTTGGGAAGTGAGTTTGTCCACTGATGGAGTTAAAATCTGGTAACATTCTTAAAGGGCAACAGCAAGCAGGAGACAGGATCACCAGGGCCTTTCAAGGACCTAGCACGCCTCTGGCCTATTCTCCACTCTGTGCCCTCCACTCTCTCCTGCTGCTGTGAGGTGAATAGTTTTGCCCCACTCCACCATGACGTTCATGTCTTTTCCCAGACCGACTGTAAAGGAGCCAAATGGCCTGTGGCAAGAACTGTGAACCAAGACAAACCTTTCTTCTTTCAGACTGTTCCTCTCGGCTGTTTGTTACAGTGAGGAAACAGCCGACTGCAGTCTGGTAGTCAGTGTTAACTGTCTAATCTGAGGCAGGAAGAGAGGGCGCAGGGGCACTTACAGAGAACACGACAGCTACACAGAGGCCCAATCCCTGGGAGCCAGCAAAGAAAGAGCCCACTTCTCTCCCAAATTACTCAGCCCTTATGAAACAAGAGATAAAGCTCTGATGGAACAAACCCCAGATGGTATAAAAAGAGTTTGATTTACGATGAGAATTGAAATTTTAAGAAAAGAATAGCATCGAGAAACCTTCTCTGTGAGTATGTTTTTAAAACAGGCATAGAATCCGATACAGGAGTTGAAGAAGATGGTGACAGAATGCCAGCTAAAGAGAAAACCCCACTCCCCAGCTACAGTGTAGAGCCCAGGTGGGGACTGAGCCCCCAGCCCTGCCTCTAGATGGCAGTGCCACCAAGCTGGCTTTGGTAAACCATATGAGAAGCTACCATGCTGTCACCACCACCATCTTCAAAACTGGCTCTGGCCCAAAGGAAAATGAGGGAAGAGTCAGAAAGACACAGGGCCTTGGGAGGGTCAATCAGGAACATGTACCTGGATTTGACCTTTGGGATCAGGTGGGGCTGTCAGAATAGTTGTGCTATTTGATAAAAATCAGATGGCACATTTAAAGGAAAGGCCAACTCAGTCTGACAGATGAGACGTGGGAATTATATTGAAAGTGACAGGGCATGGGGCTTCATGCATTCAGAGTGGTTTGTCAGAACCAGGTAGGGCAAAGGTCAGACTGTGGGTAGGACTTAGTGGTCTAGTTACCTGACTAAAGATCCTACCTGCATGAGACAAGGAGTCAATGACACAGCAGGGACACCTGACCTGGACAGGGGCTAGAGGTTGCACAGCTAAGCGTGGGTACCGGAAATGGACTTGGTCCAAGCAGGGAAAGAAGGCTTCAGCCTCTAGGATAGGCAGAGGCAGAACCAGGAGAGTGTTCACAAGAAGGGGTGACTGCACTACCGAGCATAGGAACAGGGTTCTCACCTCTGAGCAAGGGAGTAGCAAGTATGGGAAAATGGCATTAAAATGCACACTCTGGCTGTCCTGTGTTCCACCAGAACCCTCTCTATGCACTCAGGCCTAGTGTCCAGCACTGCTCATGCAGTAACACTGGCTAGTTCCCAGGGCCTGGCTTGTTTTGAGGGACCTGTCTTGGGCCAGGCTTCATGTCGTGAGGAAGTCACACCACTCGAAGAGATCATATATATATGCATGTGGACGCTGCGGTCAGTAGCTCAGACGAGTTCGTCTGAGGTAGCAACAGCTACCATGGAGTGGGGAGACCTCCACAACACCAGCCCCTCTACTCCCAGCCTAGAGGGCTCAGCTATGGCAAAGGCAAGCTGCCCCACTGTGCCAACGGCAATCTTGGTAACAGGACTTGTAAAGCATGCACCAGCTAAATGGACGTGTCTTAAAACCTTAGGTGCTGGCACGGTCTGTACCTATGTGAGTGAAACTGGAGATACTGACATGAACTCTGGGGTCCAACAGAGAAATCTATAGAATACAGAAAAAGATGAAAGCGCATTCGTGTACAAATACATATAGTCTGTAGCTCTGATCCATTACCTCCCACAGAGACCTAGAATCTTAGTAGTGTAAAAACAAAGACTCTCAAACAAAATCCACTTTGGTCCGGTGAGATGGCTCAGCGGTTAAGAGCACTGACTGCTCTTCTAGAGGTCATGAGTTCAATTCCCAGCAACCACATGGTGGCTCACAACCATATGCAATGAGATCTGATGCCCTCATATAGGTGTCTGAAGACAGCTACAGTGTACTTACATTAAATAAATAAATAAATAAATCTTTAAAAAAACCAAAAAAATATTCACTTTCTACTATAAAAATATAGATTAAGAGATTTAGAGATGGGGGAGGCGGCTTAAGAGATGGCTCAGTGGTTCAGAGTACTGGTTACTCTTCCAGAGGACATGGGTTTGATTCTGAGCGCCCATATGGTAGCTCACAGCCATCTTTAACTCCAGTCCAGGAATCTGACATCCTCTTCTGGCCTCCTCAGGCACCAGATATGTAAGTAGTCCACACATATACAAGCAGACAAAACACTCATACAATAAAATAAAATATAAAAATATTAACTAATTTCAAAACAGGTAGCCAGATCCCTTTGCAGTGTGTGTACAAAGGAGAAAGCCCTTGTCTACAGGAAACATCTAACAGACACTGTGAGGGACCACACAAGATAATGCTCCTGGGGAGCTAAACACAGATCCAACAGGAGCCTGGGTCTTGAGGACTCGACTCCAAAAATCCCAGTGTTAATACACAAAAATCTAAGTCAGTTATACAGATTTAAGATCTAAGTTTGTACGACAGCTAAAAACCTCCTCTCAGAATTAACATGAATGGCCCAGAGAGCTGATCAGTAAGTTACACACTTGGCCTCTCAGCCTAGCATGGTAGAAACACAGATTTCCAGGGCTCACACAGAAGTTCCAACCAATGAAGAAATGAGGACAATGCCATTGGAAGCCTTCTGAATGTGAGAGGCAGTGATGGCTAATGTGTCCAGGCACAGAGTGGCCAGGCAAGGGCAACAGTTACCCAGAAGCTGGCTTCTTCTGAGGCAGGCGGGTGGGTGGCTGGGGTGGCAGGGGCGGGGGCTTGCTCTGTGAGGTTCCGGATTGGGAGGACTTGCTTGGCTGGCTCATGGCTTCTAGAGTTCCTGATGTCTTAGCCACAGGAGGGGGTGGTGTGGTGGTCAGGGGATCTGTGGAGAGAAAAGGGGGAGGGAAAGAGAGAGTAAGCCCCTAAGTCTCATATCTAGTCTCTTACTGGAGGCCTCTCTCTTCTCTAGCACTCTTCTGGGTACACCTATGGCTGCTTCTCAGCCTGTTTCTTCTGGGAAACTACAAGGAGGGGCAGACCAGTAAGGGCACCCTCAACTACCACTGAAAGTTTGCTATGGCTTGTGTGTGTTTAGCCAGAAACCTGTGTAGTGGCCAGCCCATGATTCTGCGCTGAGCTGCCCCAAAACCAGCCGAGCAGGCAGAGTCTGAAGTTAGTTTCATGTCTGACATCTGCCCTAAGATACCCAGAATGCTTGGGCCAGGGCTCCTTTTGCATCAAGTGACCCACCCACCACCAAAAAGGGGAAGAACTCTATGCACCCCACCAGCCTGTAGTGGGGGAAGCTCTAAGGACAAACGGTGACAATCAACTAGTATGGGGCTCCCAGTCTGAGTGGAGAGGTGTTGGAATCTATTGCTATCTGTATTTTACAGACAGTAGGCTGAAGCACAGAAGCAAAGCAGAGTGACCAAGTGGGCAGAACTGTTTAAAAACAACAACAGAGTAAGGTCACGCGCCTGGGCCTGCCTTCACCCACCCATCTCTCAAACAGCACCAGGCCCTTGTCAGTGGCTTGTCTCAGGATGGGAACAGACATATATATAGATCAAGAAGGGCTATGGGAAGGGAAAAAAGGGTCTATTTTACGGTTTCTCTCTCCCTCTTTCTTCCCTTTTTCATTTTAATGGAAAAGTCTAAGGTATATTAGCCCAGCTACATCATACTAAGAATCCTCTTGATGTTTGACCTCAGTGTACTACAGCTGGACCCTGCCCCAAATCCCTCTGCAGAGCTTCTGGGACATACTGCCCCTGCTGCTGCTGCTGCTGCTGCTAGCATCTACCCTCTTGGCAATTCCTGCAGAAGGGTTAGAACTGCTTTCTGTATAAGCCATAGGCAGTGTGGCCTAGGAAGGGCCCCGATGCCTTGGAAGCAATATACCCAGAGACGCAGGACTCCCTGCTCCTTGGGCTGAGAGGTAGGGCAGGGAGCAGAGAGGGCTGGTGTCACTGACCCAGTGAAAATGTTTGGCTCTGTAGCAGGACAAAGGCCCTTTCGTACTGCCTATCTCCCGGGATTGGGAACTGCCAACCACACATTGGCACTGGAAATATCATGCCAGATCATGACTGAAATGACCACTCCCAAATCACTACACAGCCAAAGAAACTCAAGTGTGGATGCTGTTAAAATACCTGGCAAGACAGAATAAAGAGTGAGTCATTTTAAGGGTAGCAAGGGAATGAACGGGAGATTAAGGTGGAGGCTGTAAGGGTTGAGGCCATAGGGACAACATCTGGTATACATCTGTGTGCAGCCCACAGCTGCCAACGGTGCCCCTGTTTTCCAGATTCATAAGGCCCACTGGCAAGAAAGGAAAAAAGGAGAAAAAAAAAAACGTACTGGTAGATGTCACTCGAAGAGGGGGCAGCGGTGGGTGGACAGCTGGCAGATCTGACGAAGATCGCTGCCTGCTGATACCGTCCACACCTACAGAGTTTGTCTTCCACAGGGTGTTAGCTGAGGTGGTTGTCTGAACTAAACCCACACGCATACACACAGGCACACACAGGCACACATACACACACACACACGGAACAAAAACAGAAACAAAACACGTCGTTATTGATCCTCTCACTCATAAAAGGTCAACATGAGCCTTCTAGAACAGCAACAGAGCCCTGGGACTTACTCTTTCCTCTGGTAGAGAAAGTGAGACAAAAATAATAAACAAAGCGCTCCAGGGAATGCTCACAGGGGGCCTTTTCTAGTTTGATGACATTTTAAAAATATTATAGTTTGAAGAACGAAATAAATAGCCATAAATCTACTGAGCATCGCATTCAGGACCTACAGAACGTCTGCTCATCTCTGCCCTTCTGTCCCCTCCCACTGTGGGCCACAGAGACCCTGTTCTCAGCCAGTGTGGGGAGGAGGAAGGGCGTATTCCAAATACCATGGGTGGGGCTCTCCCCAAGCCTCCTTTAACATATCTGCCTGGAGATCAGCGCAGATGATCCAGTGATTCAGGTGACCCCCAAGGTGGCCATGTTTCCCTGGTCACCATCTTTCTCACCGTGTACCATTTACTCAGATGTACACGGATGTCTCTGTATCTAAGGGGAGGGCTGAGCCTGGAAGTGACGAGACACACCCTCAAAGGCCAACCCCAGGGTTGGGATGGAACCTTCCAACTTGCCCTATGGTAAGTGTGTATCTCAGTGTGGGACATAGGGTGAGAACTCCATCTTCACACCAAGTGTAGACTCTAGGGGAAGGGAGAGGCAGGAAAGGGGTGCGATTTACTTCATGTGAAAACAAAACACCACCTCCCCCCCACAAAAAAAAACCCAGAGCTAGGGATATTATGGCCTTAAAAGTAGGAAAAGCAATCTCTCAGATTCCAGGACTGCAAGAAATCAAGATGAGATGCTGACCAATCCTTTCCTGCCACCCAACAGAGTGAATGAGGTCTCTGTCATAGAGCCAGCACAAGCTTCTCCTGGGAATGCAGATACCCAGTCTCTGAGACGCTGGGCCTTTCAGAATCAACACACCTCTCCAGGATGAAGAAGCACTGAGATGCCCATAAGGCTCTGCACTGCCCAGGACAGCCTGTAGGAGGTGACAGGGAGTCCTCGTTAAGCCCAGGAGGAATGAATGTGTGGTGGTGTGGGTGTTAGGGGTGGGTGGAAGAGGTGGAGGATACAGGGCCTGCTCTACACCTTTGCTTTTCAGTGATTCACCTAACTCTTTGGGCCTCCCTGAGTGCAGGACAGGGACACATGTGGTCTGTCCAGTTGGTCTTCCAGTTACTCAATACCTAGTACCATCTCATACTGCCCTCCCCTTCCCAGCTGCTGCAAGAGACAGTTAACAATGCCTTTCTGCATAGCAGCCACAGTCCAGGGACAGCAAGTAGAAGCTACTATTCTTCCCAGGGAAGCCTCTCCCCCCCTTGACCTAGAAGGCCCTGAAGACAACCACCTAAGGTTGGCAGGCCTGGCTGAGCCAGGATGCCCACTTGCTGGCCACTTCACGAAGCCAGTGACTAGCTGGTCTTCGCTATAAGACAAGCTGTTCATGTTTCCCTATTTGTAAACGCAACCAAGCAAACAAACAAATGAAAAAAATCACCTGTCCAGTGGGTCTGCTATGTAGAGACGGGGTAGTTTTGTGGCGTTTTTCAGACTTAGGACATCAGGAGGGCCCACACATTTGTGTTTTTACAGTTAGGCTGAGCACTGTTCCCCAAATTACTACCTTCTACTCCTTCATTTCAAAGGTATTCTAGAAAGATACTAAGTCACCACAGTGCTTTAAGCTAGCCCTGAGAAAGAAGAAAGGGAATAATCAGGACACTGAGAGGGGAGCCAGCGGAGAAAGGATACAGTGGGAAGGCGGCAGAGGACACCCTAGCTGACCAGCTGCAGGCCCACCCATCACCACTGCCTGGGGCAGCCCTGCATTACCCCATGCACATCTCTGCCCGAGTAAGAACCCAATCAGAATCTCTACTGGTCTGACATGCTAAGAATAATGGAATTCCTTATGGAAGCAAACAGCAAACAGCTACAGAATAAACAACCATACATGTAACTTCTCAAAGCCAAAGCCCATATGTATTTGCAGGGGACTCAAAACTGTATACCTTTGCCAACATTCCGAGGTGGGAGTGGGGGTGCGCTGGTGGTGCTGGGGGGTAGTGACTGGGAGGAAGGCGGGCTGCCACTCAGGATAGCTCCATAGGTCTCATTCTGCAAGATGCTGGGCCCGAAGCCCCTCTGCTTGTCCTTGGTGAGGTTTGCAGTATCTCTGGCCAAAGACACAGCATTGGGCTGAAACTGGCTGGACCCCAGCTGGTAGAAGCTGACAGGCCGGTCCTCCCGTCGGTTGGGGCTAGGCTGTAGAAGAATGGCAGGGAAAGAGCATGAGATGGAGCTATGGCTTTCTCTGAGTTGGATCAACTAGACAGTGAACACTCATCCACGTGTGGTGGGTACCATTTCAGCACTACGCTGTTGCATTTGAACTGCAAGATTTTAAAGTTCCTTCTTCTTGTGTCTTGTAATTAAAACAAACACACACACACACACACACACACACACACACACACACACACACACCTCCTCAGAGTCCTGGTTTACTATTTACAGTTCTTAATTCTGTGAAGAACTTCAAATAGCAGCTATTTCATCTTACAAACCAGCCTAGCTCTGTGCTCCTTTCCAAACACACTTTCTTCTGACAGAATGGCTCTGACCAACGAGCGGCAATCCACATTACTCTGAACCATGAGCTGTTGAGATCTCAATAAATCAGGGGTCAGTAAATCCTGACCCTTTTGGCTATCACTTGCTTAAAAAAAAAATAGTGTGTTCTCTGTGTATAAGTACATATGAGGAGGCCAGAGGAAACTATGGCGCCCAGTTCTCTCCTTCCACCATAGGAGTCCTAGAGATCAAACTCAGGTCTCCATGACTGACAGAAATACCTTACTGCTTTTATAAATAAAGATTTATTGAGATGTAACTTCCTCCCATCATTTACATATCTGTACTACAGAGAAATACTAAGTATAGCTGTTAACTCCTGCTTTTCCATCACCGATGGCCCAATGGGCTTCAGAAATATTTTTTCCCATTTGTATCTATTAGTCATCTCGGTTTATACTTCCTATTAGAATACTAAGGTACTATAAAAAATAAAACAGTAAGACCATAAAAATGTGTTCAACAAGGCCTTTCCTTTCATTTCAATACAGAGCATGGTGGCATACCTGGTTCTGCACCCACAGACCTGCACGAAGGTGCCATCATCCCAAGGTATGCTTGGCAGTGTGTGTGATAAGGGGACTGGACCAAAGCTAGAGCCCTGTGCTCATTGCAGGGCTGTGTGCAAACAGCTGTCAGCCTCTCTTGAGGCTTAGAAGTCCCCATCCCATAAAAGGAGTTGGAGCCAGTGAACCCCAAAGGCTGTGGAGTGGTTCCCACTTGGTGGTTTCTAAGGTCACTCAGACCACATGACCAGCCACATAAACACTGTCACCTGCCAGCAGGACCTAGCACCTGCCACCATGGACTGGAGCTAGGAGAGAAACGGGAAGGGGAAGACTGGAACCCGCCTGGATCAATGAACTCACAAGACGGCAGGCCAGGCCCCACCCTGCTCTGCTCGAAGTTTGCGGAATCGTTTGTGGCATCATGGCACAAACCTGTAGCTTCTCGTCCACATCGTCGTCGCTCTCATCCAGGTCCTCGTGCAACAGCCGCCATTCGTACTCGACGTGAACATGAGAGTTAAACCTCCCTGACAAGGCCTGAGTGAGCTAGGAAGGAGGACAGGGCAGTTAGTGCTGCTGCCCCCGTTTTCAACAAGAGACAGACCCTCATGGGAGACCAGACCAAGAATGGACAGGCCAGGGAGGAGGGTCTTGGAAGTACTCACAAGTAGATTCCACTCCGTTCCAGGACAGCTCATTTAAATCCCTGGGTCTCTATGGAGGTCCCTGTACCTGATTCACAGAATAACCCAGACCCTCAAAGCCCCCTGTCAGTGACTTTCGGTAAATCGTGCAGTGTGCCACACAGGCGTGGAATTTGGCAACCTAAAAGGTGATGGCCAGCATATAGGTCTTAGCACAACCTGGAGTCAACTGCAGAAGGGACATGTTTGCTGCTGAGTCAGCCTTCCTGCAGCCCTGCAGAAAATGATCCCCCTTTCTTCAGTTCTCTCACAGAAAGTAGCTGGCTGATTCTCCGCCAGCTGTGCAGGAGGTACGTCAATGGATTATCTGTATTTGGTGTTTAGGGCCAGACAGTTGCTGTGTGACTTTGAGTAAGTCACTTGACTTTTCTATACCTACTTCCTCATCTATTAAACAGGAACTAAAGATTAAACAGCGTGATGGGTAAGATCTGAGACAAGCACCTGTTACTTATCCTCTAGTTGGGTAGCATTTAAGAGTCCTGTGGGTTGGGTACTTACTATGTGCACCTGCTTTGCATAATTCAACAATTCTTACAATAACCTTGCACAGGAGTGTTAACTAACTCAATGTTACAAGTGAAGTGATGACAACCTGGGGGTATGTTCCCAAGGCTGCAATGAGGCACAGCCCATTGCAAACTGACGACTGCTGACCCTGAAGCCCCTTCCCCCAGCCACGCACCTCTTCTTCCAGAACAGAAGAGAGACACACACTGCCCTGCATGCTCTGGGTTTAAGGATAAAGGTAGGACCTGCAGCTGGACATGCTGGGACAAAGAGCTAGGTGCTCATGGGTAGCAGATAATGTGGAGGCCCCGCCTTTATTCCAGCTGCCTAAGGAGTCTGGGACTACCACCATGTTCAATAATCACATGCTGAGTTACAAGTGCCACCACAAGAAGGTAGCCACCTGGCCAGCAAAGATTTCCCAGAGTGCTCCTCCAGGCCAGCTAGTACTTAGCATAGCCCAAGATGTGTGTTTCTGTGCCCTGTTGTTGCTGTCCAGGGAGACTGGCTCTACTCCATTCCCCTACCCCATTGCACCCCAGGCCATCTACTCAGGGTGGATGCTTACCAGTTCCTCACAGTGTTCATGTTTGAGCCGCTTGGCGATGTCCAACGGGGTCTCTCCTGACTCATTGGCTGAAAGTCAAGGTGGAAAGACAAAACAAAACGTGGCCTTCTGTTTTGCATATAAAACATCCCTAAAGAGTCGGATGTTGAAGCTGTGATACCCCAGCTGGTGGCGCTATTGAGAGGTGATTGGATCCTGAAATTTTCTTGAAGTGTTTCTCAGTGTTTTGTGTTTTATCTTTTGAGAATTCTGCTTAGCTCTATAGTCCTGACCCCCCTTTTTTCTTCTGAGACAAGGTGTGGTGGTTTGACCTAGGAATGGGCTCCATGGACTCAAGTGTGTGTTTGAATGCTTGGCCCATAGGGAGTGGCACTATTAGGAGGTGTGGCCTTGTTGGAGTAGGTGTGGCCTTGTTGGAGGAAGTGTGTCACTGTGGGGGTGGGCTTTGAGGTCTCCTATACTTAAACTATGCCTAGTGTAACACACAGTCTCCTTCTGCTGTCTGCGGATCAAGAAGTAGAACTCTCGGCTCCTTCTCCAGCACCATGGCTGCCTGTGTGCCACCATGCCTCCCACCATGATGATAATGGGCTAAACTTCTGGAACTGTAAGTCAGCTCCAATTAAATGTTCTCCTTTACAGTGTTGTTGTGGTTGTAGTGTGTCTTCACAGCAATAAAACCCTAACTAAACCAGACACACCTCATTAAACTAAGCAGGAATCACTGAATGTAGTCAGGTTAACCTGGGCAGGGATGGCTGTCATTTAGTTGTACAGGATACAGCAGAGTAAAGAAGCTTTGATTTTAAAAGAAAGGATTGAGCTACCTAAGAAATGTCAAGCCAGACAACCATTATCCTAAGGCCGAGTTATCAGCAGAGCAAGAGCGTGCACATTGAGTGCCC